TAAATCTTTCAAAACGCCACAAATATCGATAGAGGCTCACGCACACCTTCCCAAGCTGTAGTTCAGTGGTTGGCACAGTAAGACGCAACCGATAAGCCATTACGTGAACGACCCAGCTGCGATGAAACCACGTTGCGAAAATTGAAATGCGATCGAATAAATGAGTTTGTATAACCTTGAAAAACTCACGTCAACTTTAAAAATCGACCAGTCGATCGCGATCAACGTGTTGGCCACCCTTGTCCTATACCTTATTGGACACGAGAAGTGGACATACAGATCATTTACCTATTATGTTATTGCTTATAGAATTCTCGTTGTTGTTGAAAAAATTGCTTTTCTCTTCATCTACTTGACCAATTGCAATTTTCAGTGATTAATGATTGTATTTCCTACAGGAAGGCTATTACTTTTATTATTTTCAAAGATTTCTGTGCGCTTTATAGGATTCGTTTTTGTTTGCGATGATTGTCGTACTGGTAGTCTACTGTGGCAGATTCCATACCCATTTTACCTCGTTTTGGTTTTCGTGGCCAGGTATTTGTGAATCGCTCTCTTGTTATCATTAGCACGAAACCATCAACATTTTCAGAAAATCGATGACTTATCATGAATTATCGACTTACCTTCGGATTGCACAAGATTCATTTGATAAGTATTTATAAACAACAAAATTAAAATGTAATATAAACTCATATTTGTTTTCATAAATATTGCTTGTTAAATAAGACAAATAATGAAGTGATTTATACACGGTATTGCTGAAATATATAACATAAACATACATGAACAAGTAAACAACGAAGCAAATTATCAGAGTCAAGTCATTTTGTATAATTATCAATATTAGCAAAACGCGGCACAACAGAATTATCGCGCCAGTTTGAAGCACGATTCATGCAAAGCAACAGACGAGTTGCCTATTGTTGACCTAACGACACAACGTGTTACCTCCAACAAATACGCTTTAATAACGACTTATACAAAAAGTAAATTTATGTTTTCTTTCTGATATTGCTGTCTTGTGATAGGACTCGAAACAAATAACGTCAAAAAAGTTTGTTTAAGCCATGTTTTAAACAATTTAAAGGGCCATCTCACAATTTAGTAGAAGAAAAGCAGTCAATCTATAAAAACAACATCCTTTTTTACTATTTCCTTTCAAAATAATACCTAAGATTAATGTTGATCAATAGATAATACATAAATCAAATACAAACAACACTGTCCCACTGTAGCTTCATCAGTATTTTGTATAGCACCGTCAAAATTGTAAAAATGTTACGAAGAAATTAGAATTTTTAATTTTTGTGTGGGAAAATTTTAATTGCTATGTAATTTCGTAGATGTCCGATTGAAATCCAACCCAGAAATTAATTCCGATAATTTGTAGTTTGGAAATTTTTGCAAACCTTTTTTCAAAAACAAGCATGATCAATGGTTCAAATGTATGTTTTGAGCTAAAATCACTGATAAAACGTGCTATGGGTTCGACCTATCACTTGGTCCCTCCATATGTCATAGGTAAATTAAAGTTAATTATTGGTGTTGTACTATAGATGATTTCAGTATAAAAATGAAACTGTCAGAAGAAATTAAATTTTATGTTGTAATTTTTGTCTATCATTGTATGTAAACTTTGATGAAATGTAACGCATCATATCGTAATAAAATGCGCGTATTTTCTGATGGTAATAATGTCGGTATAATTATTACAGGTTATAAATGTAACGCCTAAAGCTAAAAATGTTTGTTGAAAATGTCAACATCTATATAAATGTGGTTCAAGTCAAGTGAAAATATATGGACATGCATATGTACATATGCATCATTTTGCTGTAAACCAGCGGCCAAGTGCGTACAAGCTAAATAGATGCAGGATTCAAAAATATTTGCAATTTATAACCGGGAGAGGTAAGGTGGGTCGCAAAAGGAATCGCAGTGGGTCGTGAATGAATGTAGAAAGCTTTGATTAATTACTTATCGATTTTAATCGGTAAGTATGTTGATAGGTATTTGTCTGTCTGTTTGTTTGTCTGTTAGATGCAAGCGATATCTGACGAAAGCGAGATTGAACCTGCTCCAGATTTTGCATGTGCATTCATCATATGTCGTACTGGAATCCTATTGGTTTTGGATGAATTATGTAGTATAATTAGCGAGTTATTAATTAATTAGTGATGGGACACAAGGTGCCACTATGGAGTAATAGCGCTGTTTTGGGGGAATCCCCTAACTTTCGATCGATAAGTCTTCAGTCTCTGACCGATATTCTCGTTATACTGGTTATTAGGATCAATGGCGAGTCGAATATGTAAATCTTCAAAAAAACAAAGAAATTAAATTGGATTTAAATTCCAATCTGTAAAAGTTTCCTTTTTAAGATCTTCTCAAAGGAACAAAAATTATATAAAAACCGACATCCATTGTTTTTCAATAAATAATCTTGCTGCACACTAACACAAATATATAGTGTAACGTTTCGTCTGACCAAGATCAAACTTCCCCAGACACATATTTCTACTAAAGCAAGAATAGCAATTGCCATTGTTTTTATTCAATTAAAGAGTCCAGCTGCACACTAACACAAATGTATTTCTGTAACGTTTCGTCCGACCAGAGTCAGACTTCCTCAGACAAGCAGTTTACAACAATAGCAAGAAATAAATTTGCTAAATGAATTTGAAATTTCAAATCAAGTATGACGTAACAATGCATAAACATTTAATTTGCATTTAGCCGTAGAAGTAATGATGGGAAGATTCGAACCACAAATATCAGTGGAGCTCATTTCAGATGTAATTGAAAAAAAAAAAAATTTTAATATTGCATTTACGAAAATGATGGGTAACTAAATGTAATTGAAATTATGGGCACTTAAAGAACCACGAGGAAGTAAACCAACATTTAAACACAAATCAAGGCTTAGTCTGGTGAGGACCAATTTCAAAATTAAAAAAGGTTTGAAGTTATTGCTGAATTTTGATCTTAAATAGCGTTAAAATATAATATTAATTCATAATAATAAATGAATAAATTAACCATCTAGCACAGGGGTCGGGAACCTTTTTGGTCAAGAGAGCCATAAAATATACATATTTTCAATTGCATTTCCGTGCGAGCCATATAACATTTCTTCACTTAATCAGGCCTGAAACGTTTACTCAAAAGTCAACACATTCCATGTCAATATACATTCAATGTGACTTCTGATGCTGCATGTTGTCGCTGCGGGCCTTGAACGGTTGCTCACATGCAGCCCAAGTTGAAATCTACGATACTCATCACCCTTTTTCGTTTAGGCATCTCCGTAGTGTTTTTAAAACTCTATCGCTTTGTGATGTCACAATATATGTTCCAGAATCCCCTTGTTTGTCACAATGCCTGTCTGGTGATTATCTTACATAACATAGACATGTGCTGGGCGCGCGTTCTCAAAGGTATTGGGAATTTCCTGCCAAAATTGGCTATAAAAGTGTTTGAAATCTCGTAACAATAGTATGCTTAGTCTTAGAATATTAGTTTTTTCTGGGAGCCATATGCCGTCACCAAAAGAGCCATATATGGCTCGCGAGCTATGGGTTCCCGACCCCTGATCTAGCATATTTCGAGTAGGACAAAAAATAAAAATTTCGGTCGCAACTCTAAAAAGTTCGGGAACCACTTAGATAGGCTATACTGATAATTGCGATATCGTTTGCTATTACAATCACGAATGGGTTGGAAAAAAAAACTCTGGAAATGAAAGCCAATAATTCATCTGAGAATGCGTACTAAAATCCAGCAAAAAGTAAAAACAAGATAGCGATCGGAGACCGCCGACCTATGGATCTAGCGGCGTGTATCCTTCGCTCTGACTGAATAGCGACACCGCGTGTCCCATCACTAATTAATTAATAACGCTAATTATACGACATAATTCATCCAAAATCAATAGGCTTTTGGCTCGAGATATGATAGATGCACGTGCAAAAAAATTGGAGCAGATTCAACCTCGCTTTCGTGAGATATCGCGTAACATACGAAAGTGTCTAACAGACAAAGACCTATCAACATACTTACAGATCGAGATCGATAAGTAACAATTTAACATCCAACAGAGAAGAGAAATGCGAAAAATTGTTTTTACAAGAAACCTACTAAAACGTAGTGTATATATTATATTCTTTCTAGTTTCGTGCCTGTTTAAAAAAATTTCACAAAGAAAGGACAAGATTTGCATATTTATCCCGAGGAGAGAAAGGTAATAGGGCGGCTTATTTATATGACAAACCACGACTTCTCGTCCGGTTACCAGTCCATGTCGGGAATGAAATTAGTTAGCATAGCGAGCCATTCTTGGTTATTGATTTATTTTGTATGCAAACGATAAGCATAATTTAGTTGCCTAGTAAATAAGCATGGAGTATTTTATTTATCAACAAAAGGATAATGTGGTTTTCGATAATTATCATAATAATAAATAGCAAAATATCCTTTTTTAGAATCACGAAATCTTTTTTGCGATTCAGTACATTGATAGATACTATTGTTATTATCATTCAAAATTACATTAGTCGACGATATATTTTATGATTAGATATTTTATACGGTCCAAGTTCGATTTCAATTGACAATCTATAACTTTAAATATGAGCTGTCCATAACGAAAAAGGCAGCGATGATAAAACTAGCATGTATTGTATGTATGCGTTTATTTATACCTGTATTTTATATTAGAAAATATTTGGGCTGTGCACGAGGCGCGCAATTAGGATTATTATCTGATACATGATTCCTCTAACCAGAAGGCTTTTTTAATATTCCATCAGTCTATCTACGGGCATATTGTAACATTAGTCATGCTCAACAAGTTATAGTCGTCAGAGTTGACATTATAGGAATAATTTCTGTAAAAGAGCTGGACTGCATATTTTATAATTATATTGTACGCTGTTATATTTACTTGGCGTAGGAAGGATTTCGACACAAAAAAGTTTTTTTTTTTTCATTAATCAAGATAATATAATTCGAGAAAACATATTATCGTTTTATTCTTCATATTAGTGGATCTATATGACTTTCAAAATGAGTTACCTTCGTAAGTTATTGATGGGGTTGCTTATTTTGTTGGGTGAACGAGAATTGGACCCCATTGTGAGAAAAAAAGCTGACGATTCTTACGATTTTATTGTGGGTGAGTAAAAGCATGCATTCACATAAGTTTCATTCCATTCATATTGTAATATTTTTTCAAGTTTTTCATTTTTATTCAATTTAATTTTATTCATATCAAATTGACCATTTTTTTTATTGTGGGGGATATATCATAATAATTTAATAGCGATATTGTTATATTATACAAATGCGAAACGATGTACCTACCAGAGGTAATAAAAAATTCTACTGAATAAAAAATGTCAATCACAATTCCACGTTTATTTATAAACTTACAGTTGGATCTGGACCTGGAGGGGCAACTGTAGCAAGTAGATTATCAGAAATGCCAGATGCAAAGTGAGTCTGTAGCTATCTTGACGCTTGTTTTACAAACATTTGTGTTTCGCTCAATCGTGTTCGTGTTATATAGTCTATTGCAATTATACGCTTACACGCAATATTATCTCACTAATCAATCTACCAGTACCAGGCGGCCTACTACGACTGCTCACTTTCCAACAACAAGCCCGCACCGATTTCACCATTTCTATTTTTTGGAATATAGAAAGGGAAGATGTAGGATGCTGAATGAAAATGATCTTTTTAATTCAAATATTTAAAAAATTAATTTTTTCAGAATTTTATTGCTGGAAGCAGGTGAAAGTGATTTGAAAGATTCACGTATAAAAGTGACAACCCGGGCGCGTGAACTTGCTAAAACAGATATAGACTGGAAATATGAAACTGAGAAAGTGTCACGATATCCATTTGTTGATCGGGTATAGTTTTGAATATAAAATCAACCCTATTTTGTGGTATTGAAAGTTATAGGGTGAGTAATTTAAGACTAAAAACCCGAGGTAAATATACAACATATATATGATCTTGGCAGAGTAGTGTAAACATAAATCCATGAAACCATCGTCGTGCGAGCTAAAATAGGATTCTGTATAAAATTTTAAGGTTCGAAGTGACTTTCTAGAACAGACGGGGTTGCTCAATTGTCATTCAATAAATGTTTTGTCATATACCGACTAATGATCAAATTTTGTAAACTAACAGGATACTGGTACCATATCTTTCACAGGTCATGTGAAGATGAGGATTCATACGTTCAGTCTGAATGGGAATCAAAATACTAAATGATTCGAGCCACAACTGTAGCGTCAAATTTTTCGCAATACCGGTAACAATATCCCACATCATTATAAAACTCCCAAATTCGCAAAACATCAGATCGCTGTGTGAGATTGCCTTCTCGCAAGAATCGATATGTTGCTCAAAAATTTGCTAAATTTCAGCTTTACTCTTTTGCTTTTGTTCATATTGTAAACAAAATAAATAAGAAAAATTTCGAGTTTTTTTGGTACAGATGCATTTCCCTTTTTACTTCGTAGACTTTTTCGATTCCACGAGGAAAAACTCTAGGAGGAAGCAGTTCCATCAATTACGGTGCCTATATCAGGGGTTCACCGCTTGATTTTGATTCCTGGGAAGACTCGGGAGCTGCAGGATGGGGATGGAATAATGTTGAACCTTATTTTCGCAAAGTGGAAAACGCAACAATGGAAGGAATGTCAGCTAAACTAGGAAAGAATGGAAATTTAAAATTATCCAGAAACCATATTAAGCCATCAAAAGCTTGGAATTTATTTACAGAAGCAGCAGCCGAAATAGGTTAGAATGAGTACCACTTTGATTGTGTAATTCGTTCTATTCTTTGTTCTTTCATGCATTCACACAGATGTTCATGTATAAATAATGCTTAATGTAGTTTACTTTTTATTAAGAATGACATAGATGGACAGGCATTTTTTGTATCTTGTTTTGTGAGTAATTTCTTTACTTTTTTCTTATAAAGGTATAAAACCAACTAATAATATTGATGACATGGAAGGAATCAGTCCAATGACATTTACGTCATACAAAGGAATCAGGCAGAATTCAGTGACGGCCTACATTCGTCCAATACAATATCAACGGTAATATGTCAATTTCTTGAGATAAATATGGATTATATGATCCATGGCCATAAAACGATGAATATAGCTTTGTTCGAAATATCTGTGAAGTTGCAACAATATTATCATGTTTATGGCAATTCGTTTTCTACCAATTATGTAAAATACAATTATCTGCTTCGGCTGTGAGGAATATTTACATTCGATTACAATTTCCAATTTACAAGTTATTCCAAAAACGACTCCGACTTCCAACACCGGGTTGACAAATATTTTGACTCCTAGTTCGGCTTCTTCAGAAGACGTTACAAGAATTCAATTTTATTCTCAAATATTTTTAGACGTTTGAAGAACTTCATTATTTTTCCATTAGGACTTCTTAGTAAATTTATTGCTTTTTGAGTTTCGGTACCGAGATCAATATGAATAAAAACAAGTCAAACTCAAAATTCAGAGCCCTGTAAAGGAGAGAGAGTTCAATTTGTTAGATGACACAAATTGGGAATACCTGTTGGTCGTGCAAAAAAGCAAAACACAAAACCGACCACAAGAGAAAAATGTCGTGTCCCCATACTTGAAAAATTATTGTTCCACTAACCGCGCACAAGACTTGAACAATAAATCAGTGATAAAATACATGACGAGAATTCGCCATTTTGAGTTAAAATTAATTTTCACAAATAATGGCTTCTATGTATATTTATATTGAGCAAAATAGTCTGTCTTCCGGTCGAATATATCTTATTATTTATTTACTGATGTACATATTCATAAATAATAGACCTTCCCCCGACCTTTGACCCCCAAAAAATTCTTTCTATACTTAACCATTGCAAAATTTTCGGGACTTATTTTCAAGAACAGTTTCGCGAGTTGACGCCTGTAAAATGGGGTATTGTTTCAAACCATCATTCTGATTCAGTGCATTCAACAATCCAGTATTTAAAAACACCGGTTAAGAATTTTAGCCTATCACAGCTATTTCTCCACTAATATTTGATTACTGTAATTAAATTGAAACTTTTAGGAAGACAAAGTGATCATTAGATTATCTAATTTATGTTTGAATTTCCGAAACACAACGGAAACTAACAAATAGAATTGAAAAACGCGAAAACGAGGTAATGTTTACGACCACGAAACCAACCGAATACCGAGCAAAAATGGGCATTGTTACGTCACTTTTGTATCTTGCTGACTGGCCAATGTCACGAAGTAAATAAGAAAGTTGATGCTCGGGGGAACCTTTGTCGTCCGTTAACTTGATTTAAATTTCATTCTAAAGGAAAGACCGACTTCATATTGTCACAGGAGCTCTTGTATCAAAAATTTCAATAGATACAAAATCTGAATCCGTAGCCAGAGCATATGGTGTTGAGTACTTGAAAAATGGAAAATATCATACCGTACAAGCAAACAAAGAAGTTATCATTTCAGCTGGTGTAATAGGAACACCACAAATTCTGCTTTTGTCTGGAATAGGTCCACAAGAGGACTTACAAAATCTTGGTGTAAGTAAGATTACAAGAAGTGATTGCTTTAATCATTATTCTCCACTTCTATCAAATCCACCTAAGAGAATATGTTATATGGTGTAATGTTATTAATGAAAAATTATGGTGTAATATTCCGGCAGTCGAGTGCACAATATTAGCTGTCTGTACGTGTGCACAACATGATTTTTATATATATCAGTTACCTGCACATCCTGTATGGTTATATTTTTATAACCAGTAATATTGAAAATGTATTTCACAATGCTAATATCCCCACTGCAAGTCGAAGTATTGTCTGTTCATAGGTCACGTAATAGCTCTAACAAATAGCCGTTGCATAATTGTATCTTATTACTTTATTCACGTGTTCAATAAACAGATTCCTGTAATAAAGAACTTACCTGGAGTTGGATCAAATTTGCAGGATCATTGGTTTAATCCGGTAGACTTCATGACCAATTTAACAAATCCTCCACCGGTTTGTATATTGAATAGATCGCGGTAACGAATATTCAACAGAGTAATAATTAACTTACATTTGAAGCACATCCAAATTTTACTTTGAATTCATTCTAGAGTGATATTTGAAGGAGTAATTGACATCATCTTGATTTGATGTGAACTTGCAGTTCAAAACACTCAAACTCACTCAATTGTGGCGAAATATTTTCTATTTATTAATCAACTAATAATTCGCTAGACGGATAGATAACTTTTAAACGTTTTCGTTCAATGAGTATGTATGCATCTTTCAATCTTCAAATTGATGCCATTAGGTAGGGAATCCAATGATGCAGTATATACTCAACGGAACCGGTCTTATGGGCATGGACCAACATGTCACAACCATCTTCAGGAAAACACGATTGAGTGGCACACCAACAAGTTTGAGTTCAAGGTGAGGCCTCCATTTTTTTTTAAAAGGAAAAAAAGTTAGTTATGTTGATAATTATATGTATATAATGAATAATAAAAATAATGTCATTCAATTCAGCTAATTTGGAAAACAAATGAAAGTGAAACCACCCCTTATCGATTCACGAATAAAACTCATTTTATATCAACGACTGATATTTGTTGAATTGACTATAGAAGCAATAGCTGCCAAGTTTCCACGCTGTGTTTCGTTCGGTGCTCCCGAAGTATATGCACCAAGATGGCGCACGACCTAAACATAGTATGTGTACCAGGTTAGGCTTCAGGTTGTGCGTCATCTTGGTGCACATACTTCCGCTTGGTGCGCACCCTTCGTTCCACAAACACAATTACTATTGAGCAAAACACACAAATACAAATATAAAGTTCACTAGAGACTAAAAGCAGTAACTTTCAGGTTTTTGTTGGAAAGCCCAATTTTGGCTCGCGACCCAGATGTTACTTGCGTATGCTTTTTGGACGAATTCGTTAGTTTACTTTTGTCTCTATCAGTTTAATATATACTTTCTCGCCGTAGTCGTTTTTATTGTTTATTTTTTTTAGAAGACGACCGTTTCCTGAAATTCAGCTGTACCTGAGAGAACGTCCAGCGGTTTGTATTTTTGAAGCAAGAATATTCCAAATAATATGATTGTTTTTTAATGTTTTTTCCCTTGCTAATGCAAAGTTGCCAGGAAAGAGTAGAAAATTTATAGGATGATTAATCGTTGTTATCGGCAGTCTAAAGTTAATTTAATTCGCTTTTAAAACAACGAGACGTTTTCAAGTACAAAAATTTGGAGGGATATTGACGTTGAGTAAAAATACTGGAAAATTTTATTAGTCCTTTGCTTTCTATCAATATACATATCACTCCTCTACATTTCCAGTTACCAAGTATTAGCATATTCGCCCAGCTGTTGCATCCTAAATCGAAGGGAACAATAAAATTGAGTTCAAGAGATATACGGGATCATCCAGTAATCGACGCAAACTTTTTTGGCCATGAAGATGATGTACGAGTCCTTACAGAAGGTAGGGAATTTTATAATTTTTTCAATTAATTGCCTTATTTATATTTTCATACTACACATTAATACTCATATGTTTGTTTTATAATATATATTGGTAATTCATACTTAAAATAAGATTTCACATTACCACAACAGGATTTCGTTTGATTGAGAAGTTTGAGAAATCTTCTTTCTTTCAAAAAGCTGGAGCTAAAATGGTTATGCCTGCCAACTGCAATGGATCGATATATGGGAATCCCCCAAGGTTTATGATTTTTTTATTATGATAATTTGAAAAAAAAAATTTTTTTTGATCCCAGGTGAGTTGTTTTTTGTGCAACACTAAACAAGTAAAATGCTTCGGCAAAAACAGCGTTCCTAAGAAAGACGGATCGTTTGTTGCATCAGTGATATTGCGTAAATGAATTACAGAACTGGATTATGCCATGTCCAAATGTTATTCCAATTGGTCCAATATTTTATATTGTATTTTCAGGAGTGACAAGTTTTATAATTGTCTTATATGGGAGAGAAGTGGTACAGGATTCCATCCATGTTGCACTGCTAAAATGGGATTGCGCTCTGATAAATATTCTGTCGTTGATTCACACCTGAGGTATGCTTATCAAAAATACGTATTTTGACGATTTTTAAGTATAAATCATAGCTTCAAAGAATATTGAAATTACCTTCTATCTTCAGTGTTTTGAATATATAAATATTGAATTTGTAAAAAGAGTTTTGAAAATAGGCGAACTCAATAAAATTACCAGGTGAATTTATCATTTGTTTATAAAACTGACAACCTAGCAATATGTGTTCATCTCCAAGCTCTGGTGCTTCAGCTGCGACGTGCAATGTAATTCTGATTGAGTATATTTGTTATAGAGTGATTGGCATCAAAGGTCTTCGTGTGGTTGATGCTTCCGTGTTTCCACATCAAATATCGTCGAATACTCAAGCCACGGTGTATATGATCGGTGAAAAAGCAGCAGATATGATAAAAGAAACTTGGCAAACATCAAAAGTCTAATGTCACTAGTTTTACGTGGTTGTTAGTTGTTTACCGCAGTCCATAAAATGTCCACATACAACATTTCTTGTTCTAGTCTCGATGTTTAACCCCAATTATGTCCTGATTTTTGCTTAAAATAAAAAAATCCAGGCTCAATATTTACGCTGAGGCTAACAAGACTTGAGACGTCAGGAGCTTGTTCATGCACATTTGGAGAAAATATGCGAGAAAGTTGTTGAAGGTCGATAAAGCATTTCCTTTCAAGGCATTCGATCATATTAGAACACGATGTGGACCTATGAATCGTTTTATTATTATGTTGTTGTTGAGAAAAAAAACTACTGGGCCAATTGCTTTGAAATTTTAGGTGGTCTTGTTGTTGTGGCTTGTTGTTGTCACTAAAAGTATATCGATTAGTGATCGCATTTTAGCGGTTTAGTTGTTAGACTACCGGTATTGTATTAGGTTTGATCCTTCTTCGTTTTGGCTTTTGTGTCCATGTCCATAGACTTGAGCATTGCGCTTTTGCTTATATTTTGGATTCACAGTAGAGTTTCGTTTCTCTCGGGTAGCCGAAAAAAAATTCGTATACCATAGCATCCAAGCAAGCCTAGTCGTGGCGTCGCTCTGATTCCATCTAAGAAAAAATCAAAATGACAGTACTGTTAGAAAAGATTTTAGTATAGAACGACAGCACTGGAATCTCCGCTGACTTTTTCAATAAAGTAATATATCATACTTTGACTATCATTCGCAAAGCGGCAAAATTGACCCAAGGTATATGGGATTATAGCCTGCCTACCTGCATGGATATGACACAATTACGGGCAAACTTGTTGCTTAGGACGATAATCCAGTATTGTGGCGTTCATCTGCGAATTTAAAAAAAGACATCAAGTATTTCAATTTTAGTTGATAATTTTGAAATCAGCAGTAGGCTACATAGCTTATTTCAGCAGACTGACCAGAATGTTATCTCTGGTTGAAGTAACTTGACTGAAAATTTTCAAATTTGACTCTAAGATGAGTTTTATAATATATATGGAATGGACCATAAAAAGTTCTGTTATCGGTCACCAGGCGTTCCTGCAATTCCACCTAAGGCCCTGAACGATATATCTTGTAACTTAAAACAGTGGCCCAAGTTCGGCGACTGATTGCCGCGCTAGCATTTCATTTGTGCTTTCAACTACTATTAGTTACCAAAGTGTCTCTATGCTTGAGAAGTCAAAACAACTTGTTGCGAGCGTAAAAAACAACGTGGTTCTGATTAATTCACGATATTGCGGTTTTAATGTCCCAAAGCATTATAAAGTTTAGGGTCATTATGATTCTTACCAAGCAAAAATGCGGCGAATACCGAATAGCCCAAGGCTATTTTAACATTCTTTCTGTATTATTATTGGGAAATATAGGCGCATTTAAGCAATTCGGGGTGAGATATTTACCTGAATATGATACACGGATGACGTAAAGTAAAAATTATTGTACAGAAACTAATCTGTATAAAATGTTGCGAAATCGCAATATTTCAATTGTAGTAGGAGCAAATTTAAACGAGGCAAATCGACTTTATTACATGCTGATTATTCCCGTTTGCTTGTTTTGTACAGTGAAAGTAAGTTCGATAACATCGTTATAGTTTTTTCGTTAGCGGACTCCTGGCCTTTTTACCACTGTGTAACTACGTTTCAGTTACGTTTTCGTCCAGTAGCCTAATATGAGGTGTCGACTCGAAAAATAAAAGAATAGGTTTTCTTCCATAATTTGTTCATTAGAGATGCTCTATTGTTTGTTCATTGCAACAAATACGCTTTTAATTTCGAACTCCTCCAAAAAATCTTATTTTTCAAAACCAAAGCCAGAGCACGGCAAGAAGTCTTTCTATACTTTCATCTTTTTGACTTACATACCGAATAACTGGCTATGCCTGCTATAAACCTGGTATATGAGACATGTATGAAAGTTAAGGGTATTGGACTTATGGTAATATATATATAATGTTGCAAAACGCAATCTTCAAAATATAACAGCAGCCAACGTAAATAATGATGAATCGGGAAAATAAGTTATTTACGTAATTTATTCCTGAGTTATTTGTTGAGTCAACGTAAATTGGATCCCACTGTGAGACAAAAACCAGAAGATGTTTACAATTTTATTGTTGGTATGTACTAAACCGAACTAGTTTTTATCTTATTCTTATATATATAAATTTTCATTTTATCAGGGTCGGATACCATTCAAAATTTTATGATATAAATATATATGTTCAATACTTAGTATCAGACGAACATTTTGTCTTGTCTGTCAAATTTCCTGGTGTGTTTCTGCCCAATATAAATTGGACCTCGAATAGCGGATAAGTTTTCACAACGCACTGATCTTTTTTTTACTTTTGTTTCATTTCTAAAAACTGTAAACTTCATAATTTTAGTTGGATCTGGACCTGGCGGGGCAACTGTAGCAAGTCGATTATCAGAGATGCAAAATATGAAGTAATTCGGTTATATGTCATTAGGTATCTTCAATTTGCACTTAAGACTTATTTTGAAGAAAAATATTTCTAAGAAAGAAAACTGGAAGCAGGAGAAAGCGACTGGAATGACACACAAATAAAACTACCGTCACAAGTATACGGTCTTCATTAAACAAATGTCGACTGGCAATATAAAAGTGAGACCATGACACGCAAATCATTTACTGATCGTGTGAGTGATTTACTATTTGACATGTCTAAAAGTTCCGTTAGAATACAATTACTTTTGGAGTGGATATTGAACTTATGCCAAGAAATAATACGTGCTCTAACAATACGTCGATTTTACCGTGGTCGGCGCGTTCAAGTCAATCTCATAATCGGCGATGTTTATAACTATTTTAGCAAACGAAATTGTCCCACTTTTTGCGCTGATTTTTTTTTTTCACATTCCGCTCAATATTTATGGGTAATTTCAGCAAAATCTAATTTTATGACATGTGCCTGCGTCGTGAAACTATATTCCGTAAATATTGAACAGTCTATTCCCTAGGAGAAATATTGTAATAAAATTTTCAATTTGAATCTTGCAAAAAATAATCTTCTATTTCTAAGAATCTTTTCCAGAGAACATTTCTCTTTTTTCTCTGTAGGTTTTATCGCTAACACGACGAAAAACTCTAGGAGGAAGCAGCTCAATAAATTACAGCGCATATGTCAGAGGCTCTCCACATGATTATGATTCCTGGGAAGACTCGGGAGCGGAAGGATGGGGATTGAAAAATGTTGGACATTATTTTCGTAAAGTAAAAAATGAAACTACAAATGACATGTCTGCCAAACATGAAAAAATGGAAATCTGAAATTAACCAAAGGTTTCAATAAACCTTCAAAGAAATGGACCTTCTTTTCCGACGAAGCTAATAAAATCGGTGAGTACGAATGGAATTGCAGGACGTTTGGTTATTATTAGCGAAAAAAAAAATAGCAAAGTAACCAACCCTTGATGCAAAGTAAGGTCACGATCAATTAGATAATGTAGCATCCGAGGTGTTGATATTGTAGCCATTAGGATCAATTCAACTAAGAAAACGGAGCCCTTTTCATCACAATGGGTATAGGTTGTTTGCAGGGCCATATTTTCTTAATATATATATTATAAATCATTGTGCTTGAAGCAATCCAGCGCCACATTTTTAATGTCGTTTTATTGGCAGGCGTAGAATCTGCTAACCGGAAGGTCAGATTTACCAATAGGAAAGGCGAGCTGATGAAGCCTAGCGCCCCATGTCCTCGATATTCAATTTTGAAATATCATCCAATTTTTGAAATTTATTTTATATTTTAAGGCGATTGAAGTAAAAGTTTGCTATGCAGTATATCATCTACTGGACTGACGATATATAAAGACTTGTTGCTTTCAATTTTGTTCCAACGCAACTACCAATAAATGGGGCGATAAAATTAAACTTCAAAGTGTAAACTCGCATGCAAATTCTAACTTATATGATTTAATTCTCTTTCCATGTATTCAAGGTTTCAAAACAACAGATTATACTGAATAGATGGAGGGATCAGTCCGATGCTATTATCAATATATCAACGGATACGACAGAATTCTGTGATTGCATATATTAGGCCAATACATAAAGAAAGGTATTCTATAATAAGTTCAAATGCGGATATATATCCCGCGCGTCGATAAATACGTATTCTGAAATGTATTGAACCGATAGACGCCGGTATCATCTTACACCACGTAGCCTACTATCATATCTAGTCAATATTGTTCTTGGGTTGTGGTTTGCGCTGTTTTGATATGGTTTCCCTAAGTCGTTACATCGCGGTCGCGCCTTAGCTGCATCTATTCACTAAGCATTTTTGAATATGCTTCAATAACTGTAAGGTCAACTGTTTAGGGCGAGCTGTTTCTGCTATGGATATTGCTGCACCACAGCAACAGTTTCAGGTGGGCTCAAACCTATTAAATATTGCTAGAGTTATTGATAAATACATTTGTGTCTCTATAGTAAAATTTTGATTGTAGTGGCAATGAATGATGATGCTGTATTTTGCTACTTAGGGGTAATTTTCACTCTGATTAGTGGAGTGAAAGTGTCTATCTCTGCGAACATAGTTTTTGTCTTTTCTTTCATTTTATCTCCCGCATAAAAAATTAATGGGCCACGAAAGAGAATCACTGGTATAGCCTTTACAGCCAATGTGTTACGTGTTAATAGCAAGAAATCGACGATCTAGGTGTAAATTAACAATTTGTGAACAATCAAGTGTGAAATTGGAAAAATTATTTTGAAACTGACCAGTCATGGTGGTGTGGCCTGAGGGTTATTATTTGATTATGCTGTAGTAAAACTTGTTTTGGATGTTTCATTTTCTGTAAACTCGTACGAACCAGATTTTCGTAATTTACCACAATTATATTGAGATAAGTTAAAAGTTCGTTTAGTAAAATTATTGTTAAAATAACCAATTCGTGGCTAACCATATGTCATTGAATTGTCTATGTCCCAGAAAGGATAGACTCCATGTTCTCACAGGAGCACTGGTTACAAAATTCTAATAAACAATGAATAGTTTGGACCCAAAGCGTACGGAATCGAGTATTTGAAAAACGGAATATATCACACTGTGCAAGCACGCAAAGAAGTCATAATTTTAGCTGGTGCAATGGGGACGCCGCCAATTCGTCTTTTATCCGGAATAGGGCCGAAGAAAGATTTGCAAAAGTTAGGGGTTGGTATCGTACGGACAAGGGCGATTAAGTGATTGACTTATTCGCATTATTATATTGCGCCTACAACTTCAAGTTAATAACATGCAATACAATTTTCGCAACGGATGCAAATATGTCTATAACGCCAAGATCGGCATTTTAGAACATATTCTAGAGCAGTGGTTATCAAACGGCGGTAAGTGCCCCCACAAAGGGGCGTAGACACTTTTCTGAGGGGGGGTGAAGCTAATTACAAATATAAATATGTGTTTGATTTGAATTTGCCCGCCCTATTTTGGATATTAACACTTCTTTATTTGGGATATTTACGTTCCATCAACGTATTACAAACGTTTTTTTTTATTAAAACATACTTTCGCCTTACACCTGTTATTTGTAGCTCATTGTTAGCTAGTTATTTTTGTGGGGCGCGAGACTTGACAAATTCTAAAAAGGGGGCGCGGATGAAAGAGTTCAAGAACCACTGTTCTAGAGGGAACATAACTTTGTGCAAAACGACCTAGATATCTGAAACTTTTGAGTACAATCATACACAAACAATAGTTCAAGTGTAGACAAAATAAATTAAAAGAAAATTACTTTATTTTCGTAAAAATAATTAAGGAATTTATGGGTTTCATTTTTTGAGTCACTCTGCTGCATTTATTCACAGATACCAGTAAGAAAAGACTTGCCTGGAGTTGGATCGAAACTGAAAGACCATTGGCTGAACACATTTAACTTTATGTCAAATCTAACCAATCCACTGCAATTAGTATACTATAAAACATTACCAATATTAATTTTAGATTTTCTTGTTCAAATAAGGACATAATATTATGGAAATGAATAGTTGAAAAAGAATATTTGTCTCTTTATTTTGCAATAATCACACGCTGTCGGTCTTTCAAGCTTAAAGACAAACGAAAGCCTAATAAGTGTACAAGGCAATAAAATCAGTTTAATGAAACAATAAATCCTCAACCTTAATTTACAAGGAAAAAAGTCCTTTGTTGGAATATGTACTCAGTGGAGAAGGACCTATGAGTACGTTCCCGTACTTGAGTCTTTTTACAAGAACATCATTGAGTGGTACACCTGCAAGTTTGAGTTTGAGATGAATTATACCAAAGTATTGGCTACATTGAATCTGAGAAAACGTATTTCTATTTCAATCCAAAACCGATTGAATTTCCAAATACGTCTCGTATTTATTATTTTTATTTAACAAAATCAAATCACGGAATTTCAATGTTGTATCTATAAACTTCAAGACGATGCCAATATGGGAATGACGTCCTGTGATCGGCACAAAAAGAATCGATTGTCTTGTGCAGACAAGACCAAGCCCATGAGTCGCGCTTTTCATCTAACTTCGTACCTCAACTCGCGTCAAGTAATTCCTCATTTCTAGAGACGTTTTGTGCCTTTAATTTAGTAAAAACACTCTATTTTTAAGCGTTGGCCATGTGACAGCAGTGACGAACCGCAGAGCTGACTTAGCGCCATCCAGTTTTTATTTTGCTGGGTCCGGAATCCCAACTTGGAGGGACTTGCTTGTTCTTTGACGATAGCACCAGGCCTGCTCCGAATGTACATATAAATATCGAAAGTTCATGTGCCAGGTGGTGTCAGTCAGTCACATTCGCAAAACTATTTAGAATTAAAGTTAATCAATGCATATTGGGAAAAACAAATATGGTCTTAAAAATGACAGGAACACAAGCATTTTCGCCCCATATTGCTACAAAATCGAACAAATTGCTCACATATTGCACTTTTTCCATTTTTTAGCGAACACGATCATGTTAGTATTTCACTATTTGAACTTGGCGTAGCATGGACCAAATAATTGTATGTAAGCCTAGTAATTTCAGCTGAAGCTTGGCTCTTTGACACAGTCATTTGACTTTCGTGTCCATATTCTCATCAACCAGTCCCGAGAACGATAGGTAGTTACAGTTATCGTAATGCCAACAGTACTGTACCGTGTTTCCCCGAAAAATAGTACTACCTTGAAAATAAAACCTAGCATGAATTTTGAAAATGATTTTAATATAAGCCCTCCCCTTAAAATGATAAAAACGTGTTATTTATAAGTAAATGGATATAGGTTTTCCTATTTTGTATATTTGAAAATCTCATATTTCTCTAAGTGAAAATTAAAGACACCCCCCCAAAATAAGCCCTAGTGTTATTTTTCGGGAGAAAATTGAGATAAGACACTGTCTTATTTTCCGGAAAACACGATAGTAGTAAATGTACATTATTACAAAAAAGTTAAAGAGATCCAGTAGGTCATAGGTTCTCAAAGTGATCCATACGGAGCCCCGGGGCTCCGCGAGAGAAACCCAGGGGCTCAGCGAGCTCTTCGATTACTTTGCAAAATAATGACTCGGCTAATTTTGTAACTGTTCGAAGAAGCAATAACAGCTTTGATAAAATTTGACAACAATATAGCCTCGAAATATGGCAAAGAGGCGGAATTAAAAAATGACATTATTTATAAGCAGGAGCGCAGCCAGGATTCTTAAGAGGGGGGGTTCAGAATTGAAATCGGAAATTTCCGCGCAACATTCTTCGCGATTAAAAAAAACAAATGAGATTTCTGTTGCGTAAAATATTCAATCCATGTCTTGTCGTTATAATTTGATTGTTCTCATTTTTACTCACGTTTGATTTGAGATTACTATTAGGATTAATAAAATGAAAGAATACTATTCTAAAACAAGAGAGCTACGCCCAAATATATGGACACGTCTTTTCGCAGTACAGTACGGTTTACCGTACCGTCAAATCACAGTCTACAAATATATTCACACCAAGCGAAGCAGTACAGTAGGACACGAAATGGCGTCCGATGACCACAGAACGTTTAATGACGTCATAGCAAACAAAAACAAATCTCACAGAGCTAACAGAAATATTTAAAATGAATAAAAGTAATAGCCTTCTGGGAAAATTTTTTATCTAACCAATAAAAATTTCAAAGCAATTGGTCTAGTGATCAAAGAGAAAAGCGGTTTTTTTAATATATCCAATAGGTGTCCAAAAAGTGTCAAAGAACAACAAGAACAACATAACAACAAAACGATCGTTATGTCCACTACACGTGTCCAATAACATAAAATACGTGATAAACTGCCAACTATGATTAAATTGGAGTCGTATTTTTGCGATCTTGGATTTGTCAAACTTGAATTGTTCTTTCGCACTCGAGATTATTTTTAAGCAGGATATCGCCGTTTAAAAAATCCCAAGGTCTGGGCGAAATACGAACGATTGAAATTTATTTTATTGCATGCGGCTCCGTCGGTAGTTTCAGAATGGGAAAAAAGGTACATCGCGCGTACATTTGACTGCGTGCGGCTCCGTCGGTAGTTTCAGAATGAAAAAAAAAGGTACATCGCGCGCACAATCGACTGTGTTTCGATTTCGCAATTACTATACGATGAATAATCAAAGAAAACCTAACATAACACCAAATTTTGTGGTTCACAATGTCTATAAAAGCGTTTTTAATCTGACATGAGTCTGCTGCAACCAAACTCTTAGTGTGATCTTCCATTTTAAGTTTTAATATTTTAGAATGTCGCTTTTCAATCAAGAAATTTGAGTTGCGGATTTACCTCTTTATTAATTATTATTTTTAGCATTTCGTCGCCGATGAACATAATATGATAACATGTTTTTCACATTGAATCCATAATTCTCCACGAGAACAAAAAAGCAATTATTGTCGTCATTGTGGAACAATACATGTATTTCCCGAAGAAAATTTTTGATGCCGGGTGGAATAAACACCGGCGTGATGATGTTTATTAAGGTTTAAACTCACGCCATGCTGACGAAAACAATCGGCGATTGTAACAAAATGCCCTCGCACGGTATTAGCGGCCTTTTAAGTCTTCCAAAGATGTCAAAAGGGAAAAGATTCAACCCCTAATTTATTAATATTATGTCAAATTTACAGCTTTTGTATATATATATATAATTTATCTTTGAAATTTAGATTTATTTAGGACTTGTATTAACCCTATTGAAAAAAGGTTCAGCATTTAAATTAAGTAAAGTACGTTTAACTTACTCAGGAATATTCATCGGAAAGTAACAATTTTAACATTTATTTTGTGGCACCGTGAATGATAGTCAACTTTTTCAAGGGCTCCACAACACCAAAAGTTTGAGAACCCCTGCAGTAGGCTATAGCATATATTCTTGGATCAATATTTTACTCTGCGTCACGATCGTGTCAAACTTGTCTATGACGTGCAGGCCTATTTCCTGTATGGCACGGGAAAAGAAAAAACTTTTTGGACATTTCTTCATGGTTTCAAATTGTAGCAGCGGGGATGGAGGATTGGTTTGGTGACGAGGCAGCAAATGCATATCTTGCAATTCTGAATTTTCCACCACATATAACAAAATATGTTATCAGTCGTCTCAGAAAAATTGAAGGAAATGAAAAGACGAAAAAGTTCAATTTTGTTATGGATGCCGGTTGTGGTAATGGGATATCTTTGATGAACTATTTACCCTATTTTGATAAAGCAGTTGGATTTGATGCAAGTGAAGATCAAATTGATAGGGCAAATGAAAGGGTAAAATCTGACGCAGTAACTTTTCTTGTTGGACGAGAGGACGCATTGCCTGCACCAGATAACTCTGTGGATCTGTTGCTGACCGTTGGAGCTTTACATTACATGAAACTGACAACATTTTTAGGCGAATGTAAGAGAATTTTAAAAAATACCGGAATGTGTGCCATTTATTATCGTACACTTTCTAAACTGCTTGTACATTATCCGATGAAGAACAAATCACAACATGCAGACGGATCTCAATTTCTTCTCGATTATCGAAACAAATTACATGAGTATTTAAAAGAAATCCACCACCCTACAGCGGAATCGTTTAATCGATATCAGAACATTTATGATCAAATTACAGGTTTTGGTAAAGAGAGAACTGACGATGTTACAGTTGATTACGATATGACACTGAAGGAATTGAAAAGTTACTTCTGGTGTTTTCCCACATACAGAAAATATAACAAGTTATTTGATGAAAAATCAAGTCCAACAAACACGATGGGAGAAAACTTGAAGAAACTTGTAAATGCTGATGATATCAAAGATGAGGATTTGAAATTGCGTTTAACTGTGTCAATGTTTTTCATATTTTTGTATAAAGAAACATAATGCAATTTCCAATACTGTGATAGCAGAAGTGCACACGCAATATCATAAACAAAAATCATCACATCTTATTCTCATTGCATAGATAGAACATTAATTATAATCGGTTGTATTATAGCTTGTTATTTCATAACTGGGTTTGTGATAGTCATCATTTTTTTTTGAAGAAAATTAAAGATAAGTGTCAACAACAGATTTGCTTAATTTGATATCTTAGCCGTTTCTTAAAAAAGCTAGGCTATTGTGGCTAGGTAAACGGTAAATAAAGAGTTCAAAGTCGGGGAAAGCTCTATTTTGCATCACCTCGCCATTCACAAATATGTCCCTCCTGTTCGGTACTTTACTGATGCGACGTAGCAGCGCCTAAATGAAAGAATGAATTAAAACTAATTGTACTAAAAGGGTTCGTGTTTGTTTTTGATATATTCGTTTATGATGCATTGTCTACAATTAAACTCGGTATGCCGCTAATATGTAAAATATATAATTTTTGTTAACCGGTTGTAACATATCGTGTGAGGAGATTTCGTTTGTCTACTGAGTAATTATGCGGTTTACCGTGCATTTACGAATTAGCCATGTTGGATGAGCTGATCTCCCGCACCCTTCAGTCATTTTGCTTGAAGAAGTTGAGTGATGGCGTCAATCTGTCTCAACACAATTTTTCCCCCGTTATCTACCGTCAATATTGATAGTTAAGCAAATGCCATAAATTTCAGACTTTCGTTTCATCGCAGTAAAATTCGAATGAGGCGATTCATTCATTACGTCATGCCCCCTTCCCCCCCCCAACCTTCACCTCCGTAACAAAAGAGAGAAAAGGTAAAAGAAATCGGCTGCGAGCGAATACCTACCCATCTATATTTTCACTTTTTCTTTTTTGAGAGACGTGCAGATTTAATAAGTCCGTGCTACTGAACGCTGTGTGCAGAATGACATATATACATATACTTCCGTGACACGAAAAGTGATAACATATATTCCTGGATCAATATTTTACTCCTAATCACAATCGTGTTTAGCTTGACTTCGACGTGCTGAAATATTTCCTGAATGCCTTGTGAAACGTTAAATCTTTCATTGGATTTT